AGAGGAAACACCAAAAGCAAGACTGGTTTATCAAAAGTATATTCACTTTAGAAAAACAGGGATTTATGGGTTTTTTCGCCTCGATGGAATCGAACAGAAGATGGAAAAATATAAAAAATAAGAATGCAAAGAAAAATAAGAGTGATAATTTATGGGTTTATCTTTGGTTAAAGCACGGAGAATAAGAAGAAACACCAGAAACAAAATTGCAATGACAAATAAAAATAGTGTTAATTTATGATGTTTTTCTATACAGAGCGAAAGATGGAAAAAACACCAAAAAATCAGGAGTATGACTCTAATGCATATTAGAATATTTAGAAAAGTATCATGATTAATTAATTCATTTGTGTATTATTCCATTAAAGGTTCCATATTTACAATAAAATATATAAGTCATGATTAATTAATTCATTTATGTATTATACTATTATTCCATTAAAGGTGCCATATTTACAATAAGAAATATAAGTCATAGTTACAATTTAACTAGAACTCTTAATCTAAATATAACTCTGTAATACGAGAATCCTAGCTAATTACGTCTATACAATTAATTAGATTAAATAAATGGCAAATAGACACATGACAAGGGTACTTACTTAAAAAATAGATATTCAGTTTGTTTTGTCTTGCACAATATATTCAAACTTATTTGCTAACAAGGAAAACTCTCATATATACACCAAAATTATCTTCACTCCTTGAAACCCTAATTCAATTTCAATTTCATAATTTATGCCCCAATTTTGTCCAATTAACCAATTTTAACTCTTATTTCAATTTTGGCCCCAATTTTGACCACCACTACCGTTGACCTTTTTGTTTTTTGAAATTCTTTTTTTTTTTGAATTTTTTTTTTCCGGCATGCCAGCTGTAGTTGATTGTCGAGGTCAGCCGCCGAGCTCCAACGTTATTTTTTTTAACCTGTTTTTAATTAATATTGTTGTTTTGTTCTGCAATATTAATTTTGTATGAGACAGTAATATTGCAGTCAAAGACAGTAATATTATTGTCCTAATTGTAATATTACTGTCTCAAACAATACAATTGTTGTTAACACAATAATAATAATGTATTAATTAATTTTATCGTCTTGGCCTGCAATATCGCCGTTTTCGACCATAATATTACTGTCTCCGACAGTAATAACTAATATTACTGTTTGGGACAATAATATTAGTAATATTATTGTTTTTGCAATCAATATTACTGTCTCAGACAGTATTTTTATTGTTACCACAGTAATTTAGGTAGAAAAGAATTGAAAAAAAAAAGTCAACGCCGGAATGTGGCCGAATTTTTTTTTTCTAAAAATTGTTTTCTACAAGAAAAATTATTTTCAAAAAATTGTGAAAATGGGGATTAATGTGATATATTTGTTCAAATTCGGTGTCAATGTGCAATATTAATGAAGTTAGTACAATTGATGAAATTGATGTAAATATATTATGAAGGATATTTTAGACAAAAGACATGGAGATGAGTTTATTTGCAAAACTATTTTATTAGACAAAAGACATGGAGATGGATTTATTTGCAAAACTATTTTTTATCTAAACGTATATGCATTTAACTCTAGCCCTATGGACCTATTTACCATTTGCCAAATTTACAAGTATATACGGACACAAACACTCATAAACAACAGGGCCGGTGAAGGTATGCTAGAGACGCGGCTGCTTCCTAAGACCCCGATTTTTATAAAAGTTGAAGTGTCCCCTAATATTTGTTTATACTCTTTATTTATTAGGAATAATAGTAAATAAAAATAAAAATATATTAACAGTTCAAAAATTCGAATAGTCATTACTATATTATTTGACATAGACTAAATATTTGTGAGTCAATTTTATATTTATTTTTTTCATTTTGAGTCATAATATATATTACTTGACATCGTTTCTATAGTTGTTGCAAATTTCTATATTTATTATTGTATTTATGTGCATGAAATGTCTTACGTCTATTACTAATAGTTAGATATTGAGTTCATTTATCAAATCTTTATTTCTATTTCAAGTTTCAAAAAATTTCAAACAATTTTGTGTATTATTTTATAATCTACATTGTCTATGTCTAATTTCAAGGGATTTCAACAACTTGGAAAAATAGCAAAAAAACCAAAAGTATGGCTCCGATTCCATATTATAATCTTGATCCTCCAAACAGCAAGTCATCACCTCTCGATCTAGTGCACAGGTTGAATATCAAATTGTCGCAAATACCACTGTCGAAACAACATGGTTATACAATCACCTTCCCTACTCTCCTCAGAAAGTCACCATCGTCTATTGCGACAACGTCAGCGGTGTCTACCTATTCAGCAATCCTATTCAACACTCGCACACTAAACATGTGGAAATTGATATCCACTTTGTCCGCGATAAAGTTGCTTCAGCACGTGTTCGGTTCCTCCATATCCTATCTACTTACCAGTTTGCCGATATCTTCAAGAAAGGACTCCCCTCAACTATTTCGAGTGTTTGTCTCCACTCTTCACGTCCTCTCCATTTCCGTTTTAACTAATGGGGTGTACTATTATATCTTGTAAATATTTTACGATATCTTAGAAATCTTATAATCTTGACATATGTATATTATAATTTCCTTGTGGTTATGGTTTCTACACATAAAATTGAATAAATACTAATAATACATCGAAAGACAATCATTCTCTCTTTCTTCGATTCTGTTCTTCCTATAAAATCCGATATAATACACGAATAGCGAATTCACTTTGGCCTAAAGACAAATATATGCTAAATAGGTCAACTTAGTCATGGTTGATGGCTATTGGACAGGATAATGAAGAAGAAGCTTCCTCTCATTTATATATTTATTATTTCAATCAAACATTTAGATTCGTTCAAGTTGATCAAATGATTTGGATATATAGTTGGTAGAATTAATTGAGATAATTTCAACGCAAATAGTGCCCTTTCGTGTTCTTAAACAAACGTTACCACAGTTGTAAACTAATTTTACTGCCTGCCCTGCGTTAACTTTACTATTATTGATAATTAACAATAGTATATTTAGGGGCTTTTTGGCTAAGCTTATTTTAAATAGCTGATAAGCTCTTACGTCTGATAACATGTTTTAAAAATTAATAAGTTGTTAAATCTTATTTTTAAAATGTCCGGATGATAAACTTATTTTTATTTTTTAGTTTTTACTTATTATAAGATCTGAAATAAAAAAATAGGGCATAGCTACTTTTAAATAATATTTTATTTGCTCTCCCACAATTTATTTTAGAAAATTTATTAAGATTTTTTTTTTTTAAATTACCAAGCACTTTAGAAGAGTTTATAAGCTGTTAAACATCTTATAAGGTTAGGCAAACACCCTCTTAGAATGAGATAGTGAGTTCTAATTTTCTTTTTCTCTACTATTTTTCATATAACAGCATTTGATTTTTAGAATAATTACAAAAAAAATTAAGGCGGTCGAGAAAAATTACGTTTCATGAATTAACATCTATGTCGGGTCAAAACCTTTTTTTTTTTTTTTTTCTTTTTTCTCCAATTTCTAGTTTTATAATTTTTGGTGATGAACATTCTTGGATCAATGGTTAACAACATTATATGAGAAAGTCTTATTTTTTCTGATTTTTTTTCCAATGTACGAAATTTTGTGTCTTGTGCATCTACAACGGATGAAATACACCGAAAAAAAATTATGCATATAGATTTACACACACAATCACTCATACATGTGTGTAATACGCGTAAGCGTGCAAATCGGACGGATCAGAGCGGAATTGGTCGTTTTGAAAAACAATCATTTTTTTTCGAAAGTGAAAACTGGTTCCAATTCCGTTCCAACAACGTAGGGAAAACAAATCAGAAATTGGACCACAAAAACTTGTTCCAAAATCGAAAAATTTCGGATTGGAATCAACTGAATTCGGAAATTTCAATTTTTTGTTACCTAAAATATAAAATACATAATAATTTGGTATTTTAAGTATAAATCGGATCGGAAATCGGAATCTCCTATATATTCCAATTCCGATCCAAATAATTTCGGAAAAATCAGAACTCGGAATTTCGGAAAAATCAGAACTCAGAATTTAGGATTTTGAATTGAAAAATATTGTTCCAAAATCGATGTTTTTTGAATTTGAATGGATGGAATTCGAAAATTTCATTCCAATTTCCACCCCTAAATACGTGTATTGAATATATACACACAGTTAAATATTATCGGATAAAATTTACCGGTGTAGTATCGAACAAACCATGTTTTATAATAAAATCTTGGCTTTGTTACAAGGTGCTCAAAACAAACTCATTAAAAAAGTCATAATCTTGCATAATTTCAATCTACTATATACTAATTAAATTATTCAAGACCTGTTTAAAATGTGTGGACTTCTTTGCTCCATCAATTCTTTAATGCCCATATAATCATCATTGATCAATACTTAATTCTAACCCAAAAACAAGTAATAATAATAAAAATAATAATAATAATAATAATAATAATAATAATAATAATAATAATAATAATAATAATAATAATAATAATAATAATAATAATAATAATAATAATAATAAAAGATACTAATTAATATTCCACCAAATAATTATCTGTCTTTATGTCCCACAAGTGCTGTCAAACTCATTATTATCCTAAAAACCTTTTTGATAAGACATATGGCAAGTCAATATTATTATTTTTCTTTTCTCTCCAATAATAAATAAATAAATAAATAACATAATAAACACTCTTTAGTAAAAAAAATGAAAAAACAGTTTCTAATCATGATTAAGAATTAAACCAAAGTTAATTACAAATATTAATCTTCCCAAATGCCACCTCCTTTATATATCTATTTTACTTAGCTTGAATCCCCTATTGCAGTCTCTCTCTCTCTCTCTCTCTCTCTCTCTCTCTCTCTCTCTCTCTCTCTCTCTCTCTCTCTCTCTCTCTCTCTCTCTCTCTCTCTCTCTCTCTCTCTCTCTCTCTCTCTCTCTCTCTCGTCTCTCTCTCTCTCTCTAGAAAAAGTCAAGTGAATAATATGGGGAGGCATTCTTGCTGCTATAAGCAGAAGTTAAGAAAAGGGCTATGGTCACCAGAAGAAGATGAGAAGCTTATGAAACACATCACTACATATGGCCATGGCTGCTGGAGCTCAGTTCCTAAGTTAGCTGGTAAGAAAAATAAATAAAAAAGAGGAGAGAGAAGATTTCTTGATATTTGTCTTTTTTTTTATTTATTATTTTTTTTTTTTTGGGTTTTTGGTGTAATTACATTTTGCATGTAATTTAATAATGAAATTAGGTCTTCAAAGGTGTGGAAAGAGCTGCAGATTGAGGTGGATCAATTACCTGAGGCCTGATTTGAAAAGAGGCACTATTTCTTTAGATGAAGAGAATTTGATTATTGAGCTGCATGCACTTCTTGGAAACAGGTATATATTTATATTAATTAATATATAATAATATCATTTATTTTGCACATTTTATAATATTAAGGAGTAAATTACAGTCTCGTGTTTGGGTAATTACAACCACCTCCCTCAACTATGAGTCTTCTTACACGTTCATCCTTGCAGTATTGAAATCAATAGAATCTTCTAGATTCCGTGGAATGTTCTCTAGTTTGTACTCCTTTTGTGCAAAAATGCAGTTTCTGATACACCACAATCTGATACTTACAATCCAAGAGACACATCTCGTTTCAAAATGTAGAGCTCGAATGGGCTAAAAACGGGTACAAAATGGTGAATATTGCACATAATCTAGAAGATTCCACTAAATTTGACACCACAAGACTAGACATATCAGAAGATTCATAGTTGATGGAGATGGTTGTAATTACTCAAACATGAAGTGTTTTTTCGCAATTTAACCTTACCTCAGGGAGTTTGCCGTAATTTACCCATTATTAAAATTATTATTATTTATTTATTTCTTATTCAAATTATTTCAGGTGGTCACAAATTGCAGCACAACTGCCTGGAAGAACAGACAATGAAATAAAGAACCTGTGGAACTCATCACTGAAGAAGAAGCTAAGGTCAAAGGGCATTGACCCAAACACTCACAAACCCCTCTCGGAAATACTTTTAATCGACAACGACGAAAAATCGTCGCAAGAAATCACGACGACAGCTGATGAAAAGCCGCCGTCGAATATTCTTCTTCCGTACATTAATAATAATAATAATTCAAACAACGACGATAACGGAATCTTCGGCCTCAACAACAACAACAATAGGTTCGTAGTTTCCAGCCATTCCGATAATTTCCCCGGTTTCCTAAGCTACGAAAACATTCTTTCGACCAATCCCGATTCGAGTATTTTCTTCAACGTCGTGTCGAACTCCAATAATTCAAATATCTCGTCAAACACGAGTAATAATAATAATACTAATAATAATAATAATCCCGCAAGTCCTTTTAGCATGAAGTTCGATCAGAGGTGGGATTCTTGCAAAATTAGCGACGATCAATTTTCGAGAACTAACGGTAGCTTCTTCGAGAAGGAAGATTATGATCAATCTCATCATACTAATAATAATATTTCGACTTCGGGCGGAGAAATAATATCGGAACTATATATGCAGCAGACTCCATTCTTATTGGGAAATTACGAAGCGCAGTTTGCGAACGAGGGTTCGTTATTGATGAGTCAGCAGCAGCAATTAGAGCAGCAGTCTTTATTACAAGATGAAGAAATATACAGCAAACTGCATTTTCAGAGGCTTTTCGGACATTTTTCTTAGCTTCTGCTAATTCTTCTTTCATTTGATCATTTGTTTGTGTGATTTTTTTTTCTTTTTTTTTTTTATTTTCTTGAATGATTTGTAAATAGATACATACATTGTTTTCGATTGGATTACAAAAAAAAAATTGATGTTTCGTTATGCATTTTCGATTATGTGATCTGCGTGATTTTTTTCTTTTTTTTTTTTTGGGATTTACAATTTGTAAAAAATCTTGTTAGGTGTGCAATGGAATTTAATATTTACTTTTTGTCTTAATCCCACTTATCACCCTTAAAATATCGTGTTTTGTCACTTTGCACCCTCAGGAAAAGTTAATAGCACTTTGCACCCTCCAAACTCAATAAATATTTCAAATTGCGCCATATATTGAATTTTTAATAGTTAATGAGGCAAATTCATTTTTTTTAATGTTTTATTTTTGTTTGGGTGAAAATTGTTTAATGTAGAAACTGCAAAAATAAAAGAATTACTCACTAAATTAATTTAAAGCTAAATGTTTTTTCTCACAAAAAATAAATATCATAATTATTTTCAACATCCAATCGGTATAAAGTTTATTAAAATTTGTGAAGTTATTTGCTGGAATTACTTTTATAAACGAAAATGGTTGAGCGAATTTTTTTAATTCGATACTGCACGGTTAACATAAACATATTGAAAAATAAAATTACCATAATTGGTATATCAATTTATTTTTATTCCAGTAAAAGACATACCTCTCGATCGGATAATTTGGAAGTAAATATTTGGTTAAATAACTAATTTGAAGTCAATTGGTGCAATTTTTTTTTTTTTCTTTTTCATGAAAAAACCAGATGTCGGGTGAATTGTGAACGATTTATCGTGTTTTGAGTGTGCAAACTGCTATTAAATTTTTTTGAAGATGTAAAATGCCAAAACGCTACATTTAAAGGGTGCAAAGTGAAATTAAGCGTTACTTATTTCGTACCTCTTTGGTGGTTTTTTGTTCAAACTTGTAAACTATATTGAAGACAAGGACTAACTGTAAACCTTTTTTGGGGGGTTCTGATGAAGTTATCACCTTACATTTTAATGGTGATAGCACTCTTCAATCTCTTTCGACCTGTCAAAATTCTGCTATATTCGGTGAAGTTATTGTATACAAGGCTCTTAGGTTCAGTCACTCTCAAAACATTATTATTACTTATATATTCAATTTATCTTATTTTCGGTCAATTTATTTTTAGGCGAATTTGCTAAAAGACCCTCAAATATAATTTTATTAGCAAATGGACGCGTTTATTTTTTATTTTGGTGAAAAAATCTCGTTTGTTCATTTTACAAAATATCACGCATAGTTTCAATAGCTAAAAGTCCCTGAAAAATGGGAGAAAAAAATTGTGTTGTAACCGTGTCAGATGCGTCTGTGAACAATGTAGGGGCACGTCCCTTGGCTATAATGTTACCGTAGAACGTTGACTGCCAATCGTAACGTATTTGCCTATTTACCTTATTTTGTACATTCATATTCTCAATTTTCAGAAATTTGTTGCAAATTTTCAGAAGTTCGCTGTTAAATCTTCTGCCAATTCAAAAACTTTGTTCGAAATGTTCAGTGCACTTTCAAAAGTTTACTATGTTAATGATCAAAATTCTCAATATACAAATGGTCAACACTGTCGTATTATGTTCAAAATACTCGTTTTTTAAATATTCACGTCCAATTTTCAGCAACTTTTGAGAAGTTCACTTTCAATATACATAAGTTTGTTGTTCTATTTCAACTACTCGATTTTCATAAGTTTGTCGTCATTTTTTATTTATGAATTATCATATTTCTATAATTTACTACCAATTTGTGTCAGTCTATATATGGGAACAAATAGTGAAAGAATAATCCTACTAGCTAATATTTGAAACTCGAAGAACAGTCCAATTCGTTGAATTAAAATATAAAACTTTCCTACTAAAAGTTATTTTATTTTCAAGGGAAAATGAGGGATAACCCCCTCAATACACAAGATAATAGAGTCCAGGCCCATTTTAATATTTACCATTTGTAAAGAAATCTAAAATTAACATTAGGAATTGTGAGACCCCCCTCATGTGTTTATTATTCCAATTTTGTCCTTTCTTCCCCCACTCTTTCTCTCTCTCCCCCCTTCTCTTCTCAACCGTCCTTTTTGACGTGTTTTTCATTTATTATTTTTCTTCTCTCTCCTCTCTCCTCTCTCCTCTCTCTTCCACAATTTCCTCTGTTCTCTCTCCTCTCTCCTCTATTCTCTCTATTCTCTCTCTTCCACAATTTCCTCTCTTCTCTCTCTCTCCTTTCTCTTCCCTCATTTCCTCTGTTCTCGTCTGTTTCATTTTTTCTCTTTAGTTTCTCTATATTTTCTCAATACTTTATCTTTTCTTCTACATTTCATCTCATTTTATAACACCATAGTATCTTAAATTGAAATATAATATAGTGAATTAATGGAAAACTATAGTTGACTACCAATTTTTTATAGTTGACATCGGAACAATTGTAGTTGACTATCCAATTTTTGTAGAACTCTGGCAACAATATAGTTAACTACCATTTTTTTATAGTTGACATCGTAAAAATTATAGTTAACTATCTAATTTTTATAGTTGACTCTGGAAAAAATATAGTGAACTATCCGATTTTATAGTTGACTCTGGCAACAATATAGTGAACTACGAAGTTTATAGTGAACTACGAAGTTTTTAGTGAATTACGGATGAATATTTGCAGTCTTCATAGTCGCTGAAATTGAAAACAAAAAAAAAAAGGAAATATGTCGTATTATGACATAAAACAGAGAAATCTAATTATATGTTGTAGGAAAAACGGATTTCATAGCAGCCTACCTTTATTCGATTTTTTTGATTTCACCATGTTTTTGTGTCTGCTTCTCCTCGATTCACACGTTTGTGATTTTTTTTCCAACAAATGAAGAAAACTAGGGTTCCACCGAAGGCCATAGATCATGGGCAGATTTTAGCGAATTATTGGGATGATATTCTACATACTGCCGTGATTTAGGGGGGAGAGATTTTTTTTCCCATGAATATTTGATATGAATTCCGTAGTTCAGGTAGAGATGGTGGGGGGGCTGATTTCTAATACAAAATGTGAGGGTAGTATTGGTATGACACTAATGGAGGGGGTTTTACTTATTAAAAATAATGAGGGGTAGTTAGTTCTAATATTTTTCTTAATAAGGGGGTTTTGTCTCATTAACCCTATTTTCAAATATATTGACCAAATATATGAAAATACATATATTTTTGGGTCTTTACAAATAAGCCCATCAAACGGTACTTATTCATAAAGAGATTCAAACAAAAAAATCATTTACAAATAAGTCCGCACATGGTCCAGATTTTAGTAAAAAGACTAAAATAGCCCCTCACACTTTAATATGCTCCAGTTTCATCCTTAATTTAATTTAACCTCAATTTGAACCCAAATTTCACAAATTATTTAATTTTGATCCTAAACCTTTTTTTTTTAAAACATTTTTTGCCGCCGGATTTCGGCGTTGACTTTTCGTTTTTTTTTCTTCCGGATTTTTTCACCGGTTTCCGACGTTGATTTTTTTTTTCTGTAACATTTTTTTTTCGTTTAAACAGCAATATTGCTGAGATTGGCAGTAATATTAACTATATTACTGTTAAACGCAGTAAAATTAACTATACTACAGTTTAACACAATAATATTGCTATATTACTATGTTGACCGTTCAACAAATGTAAACATAATAAAAAGCCAAAAGAATTAATATTACTGTGAGTGACAGTAATATTACTATTACAACAGTAATATTACCGTCAACCACAGTAATATTACAATAATAGACAATAATATTATTATGTTACTCCGTGAATAATTCAAACAAACAAAAAATTCCAAACAAAATGTGGTTGACAACAATATTACTATAACAACAGTAATATTACAGTCAACCACAGTAATATTATTGTGTTTACAGTAATATTACAATAATAAACAGTAATATTATTACGTTACTCTCTGAATAACTCAAACAAACAAAAAACCCAAAAAAAAAAAATAATAACATTGATGTTGTTGACAGTAATATTATTGTGTTTACAGTTATTTTACTGTCAACGACAGTATTATAATTACGTTAACTTGTCAACATATCAAACAAAATAAAAATAAATAACAAAAACTAAAAAATAATAATATTACGTTAATTTACTGTCAACGACAGAACAATTACATAAATGTATTGTCAACGGCAGTACAATTACGTTAATTAACTGTCATTGGCAATATAATTACGTTAATTTACAGTCAGTGACAGCACAATTACGGTCAACGTTTAGCGGCGGATGTAAAAACAAAAACAAAAAACAAAACCAAAACCAAAAAAAAAAGAAAAAAACCTAAAAAAAACAGTAAAAAGAATCAACGTCGGAATCCGGCGGCGGAAAAAGACAACCAGAAAAAAAAAATCAACGCCGAAACCGGCGAAAAAATCCGGGAAAAAAAAAAAGAAAAAAAAAAATCGAAATGTCAGCGCCAGAATCTGGTGGCAAAAATTTTTTTTTTTTGAAAAAAAAAGTCAAAATATAATTTTTGTGGACGAAATTGATTAAATTGGGTTTACAATTAAGAATTAGGTATAAAGGGTTGGGGGTAATATTGTCATATACATGAATGTTTCCTTTATTTATAATAAATATTAAAGGGATGGGCTTATTGGTGAAAAAGATATAACCCCTAAACCTAGAATAATAAAGATGCTTAGTTGGAGACTTATGCACAAAAACCCCTATTTTTTTTTGGCAAAAATAAAATTTAGAGGCCTAAACTAATAATATTGCTAAATCGCCAAAATTCAACGTGATTCAGGAAAGCTACGGAGTTAACATTCTTTTAAAACAATAATATTTGATTAAAATCACTTTGCTAATGACTAAGGTGGTGTTTGCAAATGCTTTTTAAAAGTGATTATGCGGTTTTTTTTGCTCATAATCTGTTTTTAGGTGTTTGCAAAATCAACTTTTGCTTTTGCTTCTCTTAAAATAATTTGCTTTAAGCTATTTTTTTAAAAGCACCCCTAACCCTGCTTTTTCAATTTTAGTTCATTTTCCAAAATATTTGCAAACACCCCCAACTTTTAGAAATAAGCACTTAAAACTAACTTAAATCACAATCACTAACTTCTGTTTTTAAATAATCATTTGCAAACACCACCTAAGAGTTTTAAGTTTTAACTATACTCTCATTTATTGGAGTTCTTTTCAAATTTAAATTAAAGCTACTTTACAAAATTCAAAATTACTCTTTTAGCGTAATCTCTGTATATATTTGAATCATTTCAAATAGATTCCCTAATTGGCAATGCCATTTGAG